CGCCTTGATTTCTTACTTCCACGTCCCATATCGCCCTTTTTCATTTGTTGGTTTCGTTCCTTTCTTTTTGGACTGTCCCTGCCGCAAATGGAGGGATGGTCACGACACATGACATTGTGCTTGAACCAATGAAATGTCAGTTGAGATCCAGGTTCGTTGTAGTCCACAACCATCGAAGGGACTCCTGGAGTTCCGTTTTCAAAATCTTTTCCGAGAAATAAGTAAGGCTTTCCTTCTTTTACATATCCGGATCGTCTCAAGGCACCAGGCCCAAACCCAATATCAATGATGACATTTTTGCAAACGTTTTCAAAATACCATCCCTAAACATGGAAATTGTCACCGATTATTTTGTAGTAAAACTTTGATCACTTTGACTAATCTAGGTTGAAAATTGATTGAGTTCAAGCCTCGTCAACAATTCACAGACAAAAAAATTACCTTTTTGAAAGCAAGAAAAGCTTTTTGGTTAAGCTTTGGTGAAAGTTTTTTTTAGTAAACCTAAATAGAAGAAAATAAATCTGAATTAAAAAATTAGATTTTTCAGTTTCATGTTTTGGCCTCAATACAAAAGCAAAGCGTATCTGAATTGGCACAAAAAAAATTAGATTTTTTTGAGCTATGTACTGTTGGCTGTACTTATAGATTAATTTTAGATAAGGTACACCGTCTGCTCGTCACGCTATCTTATTTTCGGAGCGATAGATTCGTGCAACTTTTTAGTCTAATACCAATCTTAATCTTACTCTTATCTCTCCTAGACTCAATAGATCTAGTGTATACTGGTTTACGCGAGTTAGTTTCCAGAAGGAGAACAACTGTATTCTAAGATTAATTCAAATGGCTCTGGTGCTGAAACTACAAGTCGTTTCAGTACTTACAAATAAGTGTAAATGTTAGAGGTGGAATTTGATTGGTTAGTTAGGAATTTTTTTATAGAGATAGAGATTTAGATTTGTGTCCAATTATAAATTCTAGTTTAGAACTGGTTTCACCCATCCTGGGCTTAAACAGTTTTTAGTTTTTAAATTTTTAATTTAGTGAAGGACGGATAATGTAGTTTTTTTTTCAAGTTGCGAGCATTGGCTTCTTGGATAAAGAAGAAGTGTGGCTGTTTGTGTTTGACCGATGAAGATTGTCATGTTCGTATCTATAGATGGGTCTCGTTGATCGTGGTAGTCTTTGGTGATTGTGTCAAGACTTCTGATCGATGCAATGATGTATCGATTTCGTTTAGTTAAGAGCGAGACTAGGTGTAGGACGAAGTTTGACTTTTTCGCGTGGTGTGCCAATTGACTTGGCTCTGTACATGTAGCCAACATCGAGATGGCCATTGGTCTGTTTTAATGGGTTTCCTTTGCTGCGATGTTGGGACCGTACTTTATATCCTTTGAGGGTAGTGACTGTTAGGCAGCAAATCGGGTAAATTTACCATTCCATAGTTAGAATGTGATTGGTTTGTCATATTTTTTTGCTGCTCGTCTTTTGGGCTTTACCAAATTTATACATATTGCGTTTATCGTTTATTTATATAATTTTCTTTGTTAATTTAGTTTTAGTTATGATTTGTTAATAATGGTTATCGCAAAAGTGATTTTATATTAATTCAGTTATTTTAAAGAGTTGCTCACTCTGGGGCTACTCTTTTCAAAAATAAGTTATTGGAGTGTCGTAGTGCATGGTGTGGGCATGTATATCGAGCGACGTTGTTCTGGTGGGTTAGGCCAGAAATGGGTTAATTTTTATGGTCTCTTTGTGCAGAGTCTCTTTTTGTGTTTAACCTTTTGTTCCGTTTTTATTACTTGTTGTTCTCCTTTTGTTTTGTTTGTGTCATTTACTCAAAAATTGAATCTTTGGGGTTGGATTTGTCTTTCGTCTTTTTTGTGTTTTATTCGATTGCAGCAAGACTTGAAAATGGTCTTCAAAAGATTAATTTATCCAGTTTTAGTCTGGTTTGGTAACCGTGGGTTTTTCTTTCTTAGTCATGCTATTAGTTTATGGTTTTGTGACGCTAGTAAGCTGCGTTGGTTATTTCAATTTTTTATATATCTCCTTCCAACCGTGTTAAGGGAAAGTTTGAAACGTGTGAAAACTAGTTAGAGTTGTTATCAGTGAAAGTTAAAACTTGAAATTCATGATTTAAACAATACTTCGTGGGCGAGCTGCGCGATTGTGGAAAGAGTGTGTGATTTATGGGCGATTGAATGATTTAAAATTATAAAAGAAGCGTCTTGTAGAATGGTTATTACTCTTTTAATTTATCTGCAAAATTTATGAATTTACTACATTGAAATAATAATTTTACTGCTTTTGAGAAATTTGATTTATGAATTTACTGCTTGGTAAAAAGAAAATTATTGCAATGAGGATAATATATGAATTGACAGCTTTTTAGGGATACATTTTACTGCTTTTATCTATACTGCACTTTGTTAATATGAGTTTAAAATTTATAGAAAAAAGCTTATATGTTTTTTTTTTTAGTTGATTGTCTTTTTCCGTGTTTGTCTTTTTCATCTAATACGTCCTATTGTTTGTATATGTGGTGTGATTACAAGGTCATATCTTTTGTTTTTAATTAAAAAATTATGTAATACGATTGTTTGTTTATTACCTAGATTATATCTTGACATAAGGTTTAGGATTGACGGGTTGGGGAGAAAAAAATATATCAATTCATGAGAATGATTTTTTCGTTTCTCGTGACTAAGTTATAATTTAAGATAGACTTACCTAATATTGCTTAGGAGTTGTGATTTGTGATCAAGGGTTGGAAACAGTAAATCAATCCACAAGGTTCAAGTATAATTAAAACGCAAGTAAATCGTTAGATATTATTTTATGATTTATTTAGTTTAACTGTTTTAACCTGGGTCATCTAAAAGGATGGGCTCAAGTGAAAGATGAGTAACCGAAGCTCTTCACTGTTTATCATAATTAAAATGGTTAGTTTTTTTAAATTTTTTTATTAGTCCTAGGTCGTTGATAAAAGTTTGGTAGTGAATTGCCGTTTGCGGTCGTTAGACACTAAGAAAATGTGGGAGGGGGAGAACAAAATTGTTCTGCTTGATCCAAGGTAAGCCTTGATGATCGCAAATTAAAGAAATATAAATTAAGTGTTTTCAAAGATCCAAGGAAAATCTTGATAATCTGTTATTTTAATTAAGGTAATTCAAGAGAAAACAAGGATAAGCCTTGATAAGATTAAATGTATAAAATTAAGTTTAGAAAAATTCAAAGTTGATGTTAATTTTTTGAAATTTGCTGTTATTTTTTAGTTGACTAAGCTGGGATGAAGAAATGATGTGTATAGAATAATAAAACTAACAAATTTTTTCAGTTTAACTATTTTTTGTATTTTTTCTTTAATAAAAATTTTCATTCAGAGTGTTTCAATATACTGCAGATTCCTTGGGGAGAACGACTTGCGTTCGTTTTTATCAGTCGTTGTTGTATAAATAGTAGGTTTAGCACCATTAAGATTGCTGAAGGATTTCTTCAAATTTCATGTCAGCAAATGAAAATTTAAATTTACTGCGGAAAGGATTCTTAATACATAGGTTTGTTCCGGTTTCCGTCGTACTATCATGAAGTCAATCAGGTGATTTCTTGCTAATCGTAGATCGTGCCTTGTCCTTGGTCTTCTCGCAATATCTGGTAATTCTCGTATTGTTTGGAAAATTGGCGGAGATCTATTGAGTCGTATAGACATTTCTAATAAATTCTCTATTTCATCTAACATTCTTGCAATTTAGCAATTGTCTAATTCTAAAATTTATTTTTTTTCTAATTCTAAGTTAGTTAAGGTCTTATTCAAGACTTTTGGTCGCACCAGATGAGTTATGTACTGTTATGTACTGCGGTCTCACCATCTGCTCGTCATGCTATTTTATTTTCGGCCGGATAGATTCGCGCAACGTTTTAGTCTAATACCAATCTTAATCTTTCTCTTACATCTCCTAGTCTCAAAAGAACTAGTGTTTACTGGTTCATGCGAGTTAGTTTCCAGAAGGAGAACAATTGTATTCTAAGTTTAATTCAAATTGCTCTGGTGCTGAAACTACAAGTAGTTTCAGCACTTTCAGCACTTTCAGCACTTACAAACAAGTGTAAATGTTAGAGATAGAATATGATTGGTTAGTTAGGAATATTTTATAGAGATAGAGAATTATATTTGTATACAATTATAAGTTCTAGTTTAGAACTGGTTCCATTTTGTACGCAATTTTTGTAATATTACACTTTCTGTTTTTTTTGTGCCATTGAAAGTATCCTATAGACCTCCATATTTGTCTTAAGAATTTTTTTTCTTTGTTGGATAGACATCATGGAACAAAATTTTTGATAAATCTTGTCTCACCCCAATATTATTTAGTGGCATGCTCTCGTTTCTATAATCTCTAAGAACATCAAAGTAAGCGGTGGGGCTCATCTGTTTGTAAACGTAGCCATTCATCAAGTACTTTTCACCTTGTAGTAGACAACACTGAGCTGAAACTAAAAGCAACTTAATTTTGGCCAAAAATAGATCCATTAAATGAAAAAGGCAATTAGCAAGAAACATATACACTTGAAAGTTTCACGAAAACAAAATTATGAAATATCAAAGTTTAAATTAGAGGGATTTTTTCGGGAGGGGCGGGAGAGCTGTATTTGACATCAAATTTTAACCGAACATTTTGGTGTGTTTTGTTAATGACAATGATGGAGGGGTTGCGCTGCGTTTTCAAAAGATGTGCCAGTTTTTCAAAAGATGTGCTAAAGCTGCGCAAAAATGTTTCACTAATTTGGTCTTTTGTCTTTCCAGCCTAGGTTTTATTTGGAATTTGGGAAAACCGACCTTTTTATGGGTAACCAGCCCACTATCTTAGATAACATCCCAGATCCGTTTGGGTACACACCAAAAAAATAGGAAACATCCGTGTTTTGACTTGTTTTGAATCAGTGCTGATATACTTGTCCGTACAAAACGGAAAAGTTAGGTTTTCTACGCCTTTTTCTCAGTTTGTGTTGACATGAGACAAAAAGTTATCAGAAAAAAAATAACGTACACTTCAATCGCAACTAATATGAAGGACTTTGTTATGCGAACCTTGTGCCTAAACATTTGTTCCAAAATTCGCCAGTTTTTGGCTCTTTTTAGACAATCAAAAATTAAAACTACGTGGAAAACTGTTGAAGAAAATCCACGTATGTAACCCCACTAAATTTTAAAATAATTTTGTAATCATGATCGACAAAATGCGCAAAACAGCTAAAAGTTGTTCATAAAATTTTTCAAAAAATATATTTTTGATATAAAACAAGCAAATTTGTAACATTTAGAAGATCATAAGTTAACCTTAGGGGTTAACTTTGAGATAATTTTATCTACATGTGACTAAGGATTTTTGATAATTTTCATCGAAGAAACTGAGGTAGCATACATGTCTACTAAGCTGAAGATTGCGGGGTAGAGCCACAGTAGACCACAATTTTTGCCTATTTGGATAGGTTTTTTACTGCTGTTTCATTGCTGAAAATTATTCGAATTAGCGATAATCTATCAATAAAATTTGCTATTGTGGCAATGAACATCGATAATTAGTCAAAGGCGATTGCTCTTTTTTCTCATTTTTATAGCTATTTTTCAATGTGGGACCAGGAAAGTCTGGGCTTAAAACCACCAACACGACCTAGACACGATAAGTTTACTGTTAAAAAGGAGACAAGGTCTCACATGGGTTAATTTCGTCGATTAAGTTAATGTGCCTCCATTGTCTGGAGATGAGTAATTCAAACTCGAGTAGCTCCCGATATCCTTCTGACATTGACTGATTCTTTTGAGATTCAGTGAGCATGCGATTTGGTTGAGTGAGGTATGAGTCCATGCAGTAATAAGGGCTGAAATAAACTAAGTGAAGAATACCCTTATTAGAGTTTCATGGATAACAATTAATCATATTGGGTGCGCATCGATGATCTCTATCAAAGTTAAAAATTTCTCTTTAAAATTTTTGATTTTTTCTCATTCTTTTGAACCATTGTATTACTTTTTGGCCAAAGCTGTTAAGTTTTTTTTCATTTGTATTCTATAGGTCATTAGCACTTTTTTGTGAAAAAACGGTTAAATTTTTGTATTCTTTTGTATTCTGTCGGTCCTTAGCACCTAACAAGCTTATCATTCCCTCCCGACGCCCACGATTCTCCTCCTCCCCATGTGTCCAGCCCCGCATTTAATCCTCACTGACGTTTACGCCTCCTACCCAATGGTTATTCTGGTACTAGATGAGGGTAAAAATGGCGATATGAAAACTGGGGTCAAATGAACGAACCACTGGCACAGGACCGCCGGTAGAGTGGTTAATGACCCGGGACCATTGAGACCATTGAGACTCACAATGTGTATGTTGCTACCATTGCGACCCAAATCGGGTATGTTGCTACCATTGCGACCCAAATCAGGTACGTTGCGACCATTGCGACTCAAAATGTGTATGTTGCGACTTTTTGCGGCCGAAAAATTTGAGCCACCTCGGTCACGCAACCATTTTCGCTCAAAACCATTGTCGCTCAAAACCATTATCGCTCAAAACCATTGTCGCTCAAATCCGTTGTCGCTCAAAACCATTGTCGCCATAAAACCAATGTCGCTCAAAACCATTGTCATTCAAAATGGGTCTGGTGCAAGTTTGCGCAATCGAAGAAATTTTTTCGACTTTGCGCGAACCAAAACAAGATATGTTGCGACTTAGCGCATCTCAAAAAAGGTATGATGCCACCGTTGCGACTCAAAATGGACATGTCGCGACTTTGCTCGACCGAAATCTTCGCGCGACTACGGCTGAAAAAATTTTTTGCGATTTTGCGCAACTCAAAAACAATATGTTGCGATTGTGCGCAATCAGAGTGATTTGCACGACTTTGGTTTGCAGTTTCGGGTCGAGGTTTGCAATTTACATTTTGAATGAATCGACCAAAAAATGGTATGTTTCGACCGTCTCGACCCAGGCTCGGTCTGTTTTGACAGAATTGACTCAGTTTCTCTTTGTTTGGGCTTTGTTCGACCGAGGAAGAACATTCCGACTAAGTTCGACCGAGCAAAAAGATTTCGACCAAGTTCAACCCAGGAAAAACGTAACAAATTTGTATGCCCTAAAAAGTGAGCTTGTATTTTACATTGGGACCATTTGAGTTGTTGATTACAGATGGCGTAAAATTTTGATGAAAATGGCGGTTGTTTATTGAGTCTTTGGAAAAATGTTAGAGATGTTCTACTTATTTTTGTATATTTGTTTTTTTTTATATATAACTTACTATTTAAGATGTTGATTGTTGGGATATATTTTGAAATAAATGGTATTCCAACAATTTTGTGTTTTATATTTTTTATGTGAAATGTTTGTTTGAAGAGTTCATATAAAAGCTTATTCTGTTCAATAGTTTGAGTTGGAGCAAGGTATTATTGAATTTTTCCGTAATTTATAAAACTTGATCCTTGTGCCATGGCTAGTTGACTTGAGGTTTTAGAAAGAAAAAGTTTCGGATGTAGGGTTTGATTTTCATTCCATGTTATTCCATCAGAAGGATTATTAATTCTGATTGTGTTCCTGAATCAAATAAAAAATCAGTTTCAAGGTCTGGTGATTGGAAATTTTTGTTTTTCGGGCTGTCTAAGAGAAGTAGATTTCTCCAAATTTTTTGTTTCGGTGGTTGTATTTCATTTGTGGTAATTTAGTTTATGTTGTTCATGTTTGAATTGGTAGTTTGACTGTTGTTTGGTTCTTTAAGGTTAAAGTTGTTTGTTTTGTTTTGGTAATATTTCGAATCGATCGGTGTTTCATATTCGTTTCGATGTGAAGCATGTTAATTGAAGGTGTATTTTCTGTATCATTTTCGTCATTTGTAGTTTCACAATGTATTTGAATTACAGTATTTCCAATTTTTTTTGTTTTGTCAATACTTGAGGGATCTAGTGGGTTTCTTCTGTTGATTGTACTTGATTGGTTTGTCTTTGGTGTTTTGGTGTACTACTTCTCTTGTTTTGACTTATGTGACTTATTGTTTTGACGTGGTGACTATGAATATTGAGTATTACTTCTATGTGATGACTGAGAATAGTTTTTCTGAGTGTTTGGATAGTTGTTGATTCAATTCCTAGAGAAATCACGGGATCTATTATTGTTTTTTGTAGTAAAATGGTCTATTGTTGAAGTAACTACATGATCTATTATTCGAGTACTTTTGTTTTCTAATATTCGACTTTAGAGATTGATTTCTGTTGCTTGATGAGTTTTTTGAACGATGAGTGGAACAGTCATCATGAGAATTTTTGTCACTTAATTGAATTTGTAATCGTGTGTATTTAGAGAAAAAAATTTTCGTACTAGAGATTCAGTTTTTTTGTGTATATAATTAATTATGTTATGTAACTATGTGTAACCTAATTATTTCGTTCTTTTTTATATGTAACTTACTATTTAAGATGTTGATTGTTGGGATATTTTTTTTATAATTGGTGTTCCATTGATATTGTGTTTTATATCTGTTTTGTGGAATATTTGCCTGAAAGGTTTATGTAAAAACAAAATTCTAATCCAAAGTTCCACAGTTTGATTTGGAACAAGGTATTATTGAACTTTTTCATAGATTAAAAGATTTGAACCTTGTGATGTGGCTAGCTTACTTGAAGTTTTGGAAGGATACATTTTTGGATGCAGGGTTTGATTTTCATTCCATGTAGGAATGTTTATTATATTTGATTCTGCTACTGATTCAAATAAAGAATCGTTTTCAAGGTCTGGCGGTTGAATGTGTTTGTTTTTCAGGCTTTTTAAGAGAAATGGAATTGTCCGAAATTTTTGTTTGAGTGGTTGTATTTTAATTGTGATTTTTTGATTGTTGTTTTCAACGATGTGTGGATTATAATTTATCGTACTTTGACTGTTCTATAGTTTTTCAGGATTAGAATTATTTGTATTCTTTGGGTAATAATTCGAATCGATCGGTGTTTCATATTCGTTTTCGATGTGAAGCAAGTTTATTGAAAGTGTATGTTTTGTGTCGATTTTGTCATCTGTAGTTCGACAGTTTATGTGATTTTACTGCAATTCCAATGTTTCTGTTTTTTCAATTTCTGGAGGATCTGGTTGGTTTTTTTTTTATTCTACTTGATTGAACTGTCTGTGGCATTTTGTATGTTGCTACCATTGCGACCCAAATCGGGTATGTTGCTACCATTGCGACCCAAATCAGGTACGTTGCGACGATTGCAACTCAAAATGAGTATGTCGCGACTCTGTGTAACCGAAATGTCTGCGCGACCCAAAAAAGGTATTTTGCGACCATTGCGACTCAAAATTGGTGAATTGCGACTTCGTGCGGCCGAAACATTTGCGCAACATCGGACTCGCAACCATAGTCGCTCAAAATCATTATCGCTCAAAACCATTGTCACTCAAAAGCGTTGTCGCTCAAAACCATTGTCGCTCAAAACCAATGACGTTCAAAACCATTGTCATTCAAAATGGGTCTGTTGCAACTTTGCGCAATTGAAGAAATTTTTTGCAACTTTGCGCGAACCAAAACAAGATATGTTGCGACTTAGCGCAACTCAAAAAAGGTATGATGCGACCGTTGCGACTCAAAATGGACAAGTCGCGACTTTGCTCGACCGAAATCTTTGCGCGACCACGGCTGATAAAAAATTTCTGCAGTTTTGCGCAACTCAAAAACAATATGTTGCAATTTTTCGCAATCAGAGTGATTTGCACGACTTTGGTTTGCAGTTTCGGGTCGAGGTTTGCAATTTACATTTTGAATGAATCGACCAAAAATGGTATGTTTCGACCGTATCGACCCAGGCTTGGTCTGTTTTGACAGAATTGACTCAGTTTCTCTTTGTTTGGGCTTTGTTCGACCGAGGAAGAACATTCGGACTAAGTTCGACCGAGCAAAAAGATTTCGACCAAGTTCAACCCAGGAAAAACGTAACAAATTTGTATGCCCTAAAAAGTGAGCTTATATTTTACATTGGGACCATTTGAGTTGTTGATTACAGATGGCGTAAAATTTTGATGAAAATGACGGTTGTTTATTGAGACTTTGGAAACATGCTACAGATGTTCTACTTTTTTTTGTATATTTTTTTTTATATATAACTTACTATTTAAGATGTTGATTGTTGTGATATATTTTGTAATAAATGGTATTCCAACAATTTAGTATTTTATATCTTTTATGTGGATTGTTTGTTTGAAGAGTTCATATAAAAGCTTATTCTGTTCAATAGTTTGAGTTGGAGCAAGGTATTATTGAATTTTTCCGTAGTTTATAAAACTTGATCCTTGTGCCGTGGCTACTTGACTTGAGGTTTTAGAAAGAAAAAGTTTCGGATGTAGGGTTTAATTTTCATTCCATGTAGGAAGGATTATTATTCTGATTGGGTTCCTGAATCAAATAAAAAATCAGTTTCAAGGTCTGGTGATAAAAAGTTTTTGTTTTTCGGGCTGTCTACGAAAAGTGGATTTTTCCAAATTTTTTGTTTCGGTGGTTGTATTTCATTTGTGGTAATTTAGTTTATGTTGTTCATGTTTGAATTGGTATTTTGACTGTTGTTTGGTTCTTTAAGGTTAAAGTTGTTTGTTTTGTTTTGGTAATATTTCGAATCGATCGGTGTTTCACATTCGTTTCAATGTGAAGCATGTTTATTGAAAGTGTATTTTCTGTATCGTTTTCGTCATCTGTAGTTGAGCAAGGTTTTTATTTACAGTATTTCCAAGTTTTCTGTTTTGTCAATACTTGAAGGATTTAGGTGGGTTTCTTCTGTTGATTGTAGTTGATTGGTTGGTCTTTGGTGTTTTGGTATACTATTTCTGTTGTTTTGACTTATGTGACTTATTCTTTTGACGTTGTGAAT